TGAATTTTTTATGTTACTAGGTAGGCCTAACAATCGGGTATTAAAGCAGGACTTTCAATGATGATAGGTTCTAGGCTAGGCCTAAAGTGTTGGCTAGCCAGCCTTTGTTGAAAGGGCACTTCATGAAAAGCGGGGTTCGTTCGAACCCAACGAACCCCCTGGCTACGGGCTTGGAATGTAGGGCCACTGCCGCTGTGTGTTTAGATCCTTTTCTAACATGGCCGGCGGAACCGGGCATTTTTATCATTTTAATTTGGTTTTATGTCTGGTGCTGTGCTTTTTATCCATTGTTTCTTTTTTATGTTTGTGTTGTGAATTTCTTGAATTTTGGTGTTCTGTTTTTGAATTCTTAAGCAATTATTGTAATACACTCCCATGCAGTCTTTCGACTGTCTGTTTTAAATTTTAAATTTATATTTTTATCTGAATAAAGGATAACGACCTTGAATACAAAATTAGAAGTCGGGAAAGGTCATTTCCCGCCATCTAGGAATCAACAATTTCACGGGGGAAGACCCCCGACCCCTTTTATTTTTGGGGTTCATCGATTCATGGAAACAGGAATACGTATGCAAAGCATGTATACCGGTAGACACATAATAGGCTATGTTACGTACCACCCACCGTATTTCTTCCAAGAAAACAAAGTAAAGATGTTGATGTGGAACGGAATCAATAAATCCAAAGAAAATTATGTTTTTGAAAGAAACACACAATGATACAAACAATCGAAATGGTATCAATATCAGGCCTATCTGTATGGTCTGTTTCACAATTATTATGGAGGACACTCTATTTTTATACCTACTGCTGAAATTAACCGCATGATCTTACGATATCATGCCACTCAGTGGGGGCGTCCTTTGCCTTTGTGTTTTTTAAAGAGCATGACACATCTCGGCTCGGTCACTCTCTCAAATCACGTGAAAGTTGTTTGTGTCTGTGGGAAGCAGGTTCACTTTAACGATTCGCTGTTGGAGGAAGTACATTAAATAGATCGAAAAGTAGCTTGCTTATCATTTTTGTACTTACCTTATTCCTTAGGCCTTCAACACATTATACTTTTTTAAAAAAAAGAACAAGATGCATATTCTTCATAAAGTTGCGTTGGTTGCACTTTTAGTAGTGTCGTGTGTACATTCAAAATCAGTGACGTTCAAGAATTGTCCAGGTAGGCTACCTAAAACTGGGCTTCACCGTAATCGCCGTAGGCCTAACCCTCACTGGGGGAGGGGGAACGAGGCCTCATCATTCATTTAGGCCTGGCTTGGCTATGGTTCAAGCAGTGTAGCTAAGCAAAATGAGCATGTCTTTGCTCAAGCTAGGCATAGTTATTGCTGACCAAATACACAAGGCCAAGCTAGGCATTGTTATGTCGGCAGAATAGGCTTTCCTTTCCCACTATATCGGCCACCCAGCACACACACCTCTTTGGTTTGGCTGCAGAACGAATTAGCATAATTATTTTGGTTGCCAGGAGACATAGTTACCAAACCTGAGAGATTTGAAATGTGTGACTTTACACCAGTTGGTTTAGGACGGGGCCACCGGGCCTCCGTGGGTCAGGGATGGAGCCCGGCAGGTTTCAGTCAGGTCATCATCAACGGTTGATTGTGACAAATGTGCCTCCTAGATTCTAATAATAATATAGTAATAATAATAATAATATAATATTTTTGTAATAATTAGTTTTCATGCATAGACTTGTGCTAAATGTGACAATTTTATGATCACGCATGTGTTTCTGCAAAATGCGTGTTTCATCCCAAAATTACATTAAAATGCAAGACATCCCGCACGATGCGAGACGGTAACTATGCCAGTAGAAAAGATGGAACTAAATTAGAAAAACAAAAATTGAATAATGTCGTTCTTAATGTGTCATTGAATACTTCTTTATTATCTTGTCCTTTTGGAAGCGACATTTTAAGCTGTTCACTTGCTGTATGCATATTAAAACAAATTGTGCACAAAAAAGAACTTTGTAGATTCCACACTATAAATATAAGACTTGCATGGGGAATACATCGAAAACTAACTTGTATGTTAGTACTAGAAGTCTCTAGAAATATATTTGATCGTTGTGTAAATTGTATGGGATCTTGTCAAGTCGCCCCTTACAAAGTCACCCCCTACAAAGTCGCCCCCCCCCCCCAACTAAGTTTAGTGGCATATCTAGGGGAGGGCGTGGGGGCGCACCCCCCAAAATCACTTAAAATCACCATATTTTGAGAATTACCGTAGCGCCCCTCCACTGATGTCGAGCCACCTCACCTTCGCGCCCCATCAGCTTCCCCCATTTCAAGACCTAGATACGCCACTGACTAAGTCACCCCTAACCAAGTTGCCTCCACAAAGTTGCCCCCTTTGTATATATATTCTATTGCATAGTTTATTTAAAATTGTTTATAAATTTACATTTTACTTGTCATGTACAGTAGTTTGTAATTTTTATATCTCTCTCCTTTAAAACGTTTATCTGACCAATGTTTAACTTGTAAAATGTGCTCCATTTCAGTTTTATATTGCCTTTGCACTTTGTTTTTCATAAAGATTCCAAAGTCAGTGATGTAACAGAAGTAGATGTCGAGCCATGTTCGTCGGATCCATGCCAGATTAAACGAGGAGTATCAGTTGCAATAAAAGTTACATTCAAAGAAGGTAGGTGTTGATTGGATTTTGAGTGAATCCAAACTGTAAACACATTCATTAATTTTGTATTCAACACAGTGGATTTTTTTGAAGAAAAAAGAATCACTGTATTCCATTATGGGTTCCACCAGGGAGTTGTCCACTAATGATTTTGCAGTTTACAAAACTGCATGTGAATCTATTTTTGACAATTTGTAGTACTGTATCTAACTAGTGCAGTATTTGTGATTTAGCTTCAAAACTTTGAGGTCAGAGTTGAATCCCTTGCTGCGCTTTTCGCTTGTGTCCCTGGCAAGACATTACAAGTGGGTACCTGCAACACAAATACCAGCTGCTACATTATGGAATTCTCTTAGTATGTGTTCCATGTGTTCATCCAGTGACTGGTCTAAATTAAATGCTTGTTGGCATAAAGCATTATACAAAACGAACATATTATAATAGTCGCCAAACACTGGTAAACTTGAAACATGGATGGACCAGTAGGTTTTATCTATGAAGAACCGAGAGTAGAATTAGTGAGTACAGTATAAATAATTGCAGAAGAAATAATGACCTGATGATATTACAAACTTGCTCCTTCATTCAAGAAACTAGGATTGTTTGAAAGCACTGTATAATGCATAACTAATTATTACCTATTTTCTCACAGTAAGCAATGCAACAGATGTTCAATCTAAAGTGTATGGATACATAGCAGGTGTGAAGGTTCCATTTCCTCTGGACAATCCTGATGCATGCACTAACTGTGGCCTAAAATGTCCACTAACTGGTGGTACTAGTTACACCTTCAACTCATCACTTCCAGTGAAAACAATCTACCCTGCAGTAAGTTAAAAGTTTGTCTCTTTGTCTGTATAGTATCTCCTATTCATGAGAGATCATTATAGATTCTTCAAATAGGGTAACAGTAGTGGAGGGGAGGAGTAAACAGTTGATGGAATGGGCATGCCAACTGTACCAACCTAAAGATGTATTCTGGAGAGCAAATCTACATTTCAGCCAATTACAGTAGCTCTTAATACAAATTTTAGCTGTATTTTTATATACAGAGTTACAGAGATATAATAATACTATTAAATGTTTACAAGATTAATGAAATTATTTTTATTTTTTTTATATTTTTTATTTATTTGTTCTTTATACTAGGTTTCCTCTTCAGTAACAAATTACTGTTCTCCCAGAGGGCCCAGTTCACATAAAACAGTCCACGACAAGGGCCGGGTGAACCAGTACACCGGGGTAACCCCCTACTCATCTCGAAGGATGTACTGGGTTTTTTAAAGTGCACATGAGCATCTGTGTACATTGGGCCTACGGTTTATAGTCCTTATCCGAGAAGACTTGTTCCACCACCAGAACCATAGGAGCGAGCCGGCCGAGGACCTATGCCAATATTGTTGGCTATGATCACGGTGCCCCTGCCTTAACTACTCGGCCATTTGGCTCGCTCAGTTAATGAAATTATGCATTTTATATTACACTTATCCTATAGGATGAGATTGGAAATATTGTTAATGAATATTTGGTTTAGTTGTTTCTGTTCAAATGTTCCAATACAAAAAAAAAAGTTTATTCTTTTTAATTTAATTTGATTTTTGGAATTTCTTCCAATATATATTTGCTTCTTACTTTAGAATATTTTTTCTTTCTTTTAGATTAAGCTCGTAGCACAGTGGGAACTTGTTGACTCCAAAGAAAATGAACAATTCTGCTTTCAAGTTCCTCTTCAACTTATATAAATTCCATATGTAGTCATGATGTGCCTATACAGTATATCATATTTAGGCATGTCACATGTTTTTGTCAAATAAAATGTGATAGTCTTACAGGGCTTAAACGATAATAATACTGTTGAGACAACAGCCAGCAGACAACAAATTAATGAATCAAGAATTAGATCTAGAAATTGGTAGTTAGCCTCATAGGCACTTCTGAATTCTTGTTGAAAATAGTAGCAGATCAAGTAATCAAAATAAGAGGACCCCAGGAGGGACTTTTATCCATGGAGGGGCTAGACAATCTCAGCACAACCGTGGTTGGGGCTAAGGTATCACTATCGCACATCTAGATAGCCAGAAATATTATCATTCCCCAATTTTCTATTTTCCAATATTTAGGGGATCTAGACCAGCTGGGACCTCCATGAATTCCTCCCCTGGACAGTACAAGAAGATGCATTATTTGGGTCTAATTTCTGTATGTATGCCTCCTTCAGTGTTTTTCAACTGCAGGGTACTGCTTTTTCAGAATAATGCTGGTAACTGTGAAATTTATGCAATAAAAGCTAAAGGGTAAATTCATAAGCCATAAGAACAGCACATTATTTCTAACTGGATTATGATATAAAAACGATAGCTTGATCTGTACAACTTATTGATGTATGCGTGTATCGTCCTCTGTGCTAACAGCTTAGATTACTTCTGGAATGAACATTTTCCAGACCGTGCACACTCTGAATGACTTGGTCATACTTCAATGCATGAATCACTAATGTGGTGCAAGATTGTATTCCTGTTTTAGAGAGGTATAATACTGTAAAACCATGAATAGAAGCCCATGGACTTCATCTCAAGAAGTAGTCCATTTCAAAAAGAAGCCCCACCATTCTCTTCAGTTTGCAAAAGTAATCTGGAAAGGAAGCCCATGGGCTTCTAATCAAGATAATACGGACTTCTGACGTTATCTTTGGTTATTATGATAGTGATATTATTATTTCATTGTATTAGCATGGTTAAAATTTTAAAATAATAAACATAATTTTGTGTTCATTAGTTGAAAAATGTGATATAGGAGCGATTCCGAAATTTACAGAATTAATTTTGAAAGCCCCCCCCCCCCTCTTTGGTTTATGAAAGTAATCTCGAAAATAACCCCATCCAAGGGTCCTAAAAAAAAACAAAGCAAGCAGCCCAGGGCGATCCTTTTTGAGGTTTAAATGTAGCTAGTTCTCAATTTGTTCATTACAACAGGAACATCAATGGCAAAATTTGTTTGTAGCAGCTGAAATTGAACAGTGATCAGATCATAAATAAATGTAATACTGTAGTAGCCATTTTAATTTATTAGGAAAAAAATGTTAAGTACTATACTTGAAATTGGTGATAAGTATTATTAGGTATTGTACAGCTGCAGGTTTTGTTGTTTTGTAATGTTTCCACAGTGAATTTATAAGTAAATTAACTTTCTATGATTGAGATAGATGTGAATTTTTTTAAATAAACAAAATGTTTATGCTCTTATGCTAACAATGTCATGTTTGCTTTGTTGTTTATTAAGTCGTCATCATGGATATTGTTGCTAAAGGCAAACTCAGACAGCGTCGGCCGACGCAGCCTGACGCGATTTGTTGTCGCGTCGGGTCTGTGTGAGTTGAACGCAGACGCGATGGTGTGCGTCGGGGGCAGTCGCGTAGTAGAATATTAAACGTGTTTAATATTTCTCACGACGGCTTAAGACTGTCCCCGACGATAAATCGGGTCGGGCTGCGTCGGCCGACGCTGTCTGAGTTGGCCTTAAGCTACGTTCACATCAAGCCCGGATTCCGGTCCGGAGTCCGGACCGGAATCCGGGCCCGGTTACGATTTCCGGTTGTGCGTTCACATCGCGTCCGGGGAACAAAGCGTCGGGGTCAAAGGAAGCAACCAAGTGGAACAACGTCAACATAGCTACGGTGATGTCGAGGATGCTGTGGAAGACGTCAAAATTAGAAGAAAAATGAGAGATCCGAATGGGTCAATT